TATTATAAAAGGATGTTAAACTGGAAGGAGTAATAAAATCGTTAATTATAATGGACGTTATTTTTCTGGGTTTACAGTAATTATAAAAAACTTCATAAAAATCTATATTTCTTCTGAAAAGAGTCAGTACAAGAAACAACAGACAACTTATCTTCATTGGTTTCATATTCATACCCTATTTGATGATCAAAAAATAATATTATAATAATAGTTTTATCATTCTAATATGGTATATCACAATGACATTAAGTAACTTTTTTTGAAGAAACATAGCTTTAAAATAATTATGAAAATATACAAACCGTACAAAAGGCATGTACGTAGACTCATGCAAAATTATACCTCTTCAAATAGCATAGTTTTCCAGAAAAGGCGTTTACAAAACAGACCATAAACAAACTAAAAAATGTATATATTTATATTTTATAAAACTGCAGTGGAAAGCTAGTAGTTACAGACCATGTAACACAATAATATCCTTCTTCTACCCAAATAACACTTACTAACTCTGCCCCAGATTGGAGAAAAGGTGTTTAAAGTCAGAACTATAGGCCGCCATGTTTTACAGCACAACGAGATCCAGTGATCAAGCAAACAAGGATTCAGCAGGTCATTTGAGCTAATAGAGACTTCATAATACTTACTTCAACTCAGCAAAGTAGTAACTTGACCAAGAACCCAAAACTTCGAGAAACAAGGCCACTAGTGGCTACGCTACAGCGAAAAGAGCATAGGCACACTGATCGTGACGTCACCAATATAATTTCATGTACAATCTACTTCCTGTTTCACATCCACTTGGTATATATAGTATCTATGCTATAATTGAATTCACCATCGCGCTATCTATATATATATATATATTTGTATGTCCACACTTACATTTCTTCTATACATGTTGTATTGGAGAAATAACAAGCCTTAGCAACCACCCGCCCACGCTCATTTACGTGAGTGGGTGTGGTCACGGCAAACAAAATGGCGGCTTACACATGGGACAAAGTTAAGAGCTTTCTAACAGCAAGAGAGCATAGAGATACTGTCTAAAAACTTTTCTAGAAGCATTATAAGGTAGAGAGAACCTCTATAAGTCTTAATAATGACCAAGTTGTACTTGCAAGGTGGTGAAATCAATTATAGGAATACTTTTTACCCTGTTACGCTTGTTGCTGCTGTTATTATTACTTCAGTACTATTATTATTATTATTATTATTATTATTATTATTATTATTATTATTATTATGGGTACTCATAAACACAAAATGATATTATAACAGACATAAGTGACATGCTGCAAAAACAGAAAACAAAAACAAAAAAGGAAAATATTATTATTATCATTATTATTATTACCATCATCATTATTATTTATTATTGTTATTATAAGTAAAAATAATGAACATGTACAAAAACAATGACCAGAAAAAGAAAATAGGGGAAAGAGGGAGAACACAGCCGGAGGAGGCAACAGAAAAACAAAAAGGAAACATAAAAAAACAAACAAAAAAGTTAGATCTGGCCATCTATTATTATTATGGTATTTAACTTTACTTGATGTTTTGTGGTTATCTCATTTATTCTTTTTATATTTTAAATGTTTGGATGATGTTCATCTTGAAGCATTAAATTAATGCATAACCGGCATTCTCCATAGATATTACTTCCACTTATTAACTTAAATATCAATTACTCTAATGACTAATTTTAATAGATTAGCAGGTATTGTGTTGGGATGCACATGGGTACTTCTCTTTCACAACAATTGGAAGCATGCATGGCTTCCGTGTAGTGATTGAAGTGCATTTTAAAACTATAGACTAGTACTACAACTATAGTAATTTTATTTCATTATGGGAATATAAAAATTACATTCTCAGCCTAGTAAAATTCAGCCTTTCTGACAGTAAAACTTGTAACAAACAGTATTATAAATTAACACTATAGGGTATCAAATATATTTATCCTCTTCAATGACTCTATTACTTGAGCCATAGTAAGACGGGCTCTAGGACTAGCATTAATTCCTATTTGTATGAGAGACTTCATATCAGACCAGGAGACACTACCAGCTTGTACTTCTCTCTCTGCCATTGTCATTTCTGGTGGAGAGCCCAACGTCATTTCCATAAGGAGAACAGAGTAACTGTAGACATCCATTGCTGGACTGTGTTGATCAGGATCACGAGCTTCTGGTGCAGCATATGCAACATTTCCTGGCATAACAGTACCAGTACTGTCAACTTGTACTAATTTAGCTGTACCATAATCTGCTACTTTAGCTTCAAAACCAGCAGCTCCAGTGCAAGGCTTTAATAATACGTTAGGACTGCTGACATCTCTGTGAATAATAGGCTGAGGCTTAAACAGGTGAAGGTAGTTAAGGCCTAAAGCTACATCTTGAGCAATACTCAGAATCTGTTGATTGGTTAATCGGTTTCTGCGAAGCTCTTGATTAAGACTAGTGCTCATCAGCTCGGTCAAGATGAGAGGATTATCCACTTTAGTTGCACCAATAAACTGGACCAGGTTAGGATGACGTACTCGTGATGCTATACTCATTTCCCTGGAGAAGAGAGCTAGATTATAATCTGATATGATGATATTATGAAGTGACTTGACAGCTACTCTTAAATCTCGAAAGATACCAACAGTCACGACAGCATAAGAACCTCTTCCTAACTCCTCCTTTGTCAAAGTCACCTCATCTTTATTAATAACCCAGTGATCATTGGCAAGTGCTCGTTGCTGGTACACATGAACTGCTTCTTGAAGCTGATGTAGCTCTCTATCTTTCTCTTGTAGCTCTTTATTCTTCTCCTGTAGTACATCTTGATGCTCTCTCTCCTTCTCTTCTAACTGGCTATTATATCTCTGCTCTCTCTCTGCCTCCACTCTATCCTTCTCTTGTAGCAGATGTGAATATCGCTTTATTTCATGCTCTTTCTCTGTTTTATTCTGCTCCAATTGCTGATGCAAAAATTGCGCCTCTCTCTCCTTCTCTTCAAGATTCTTCATAAGAGCTTGTACGGTTTGCTCAATATCGGCTGTATCTCCCTTTCTTGGTTTCTGATAGTCCGCCTCCAACCACATTTTTCTTCCTAACTCTAGGTGCTGTAGATACTTTTTCTTGTATTCTTCATTCTTCATACCATTGGTATCAAACGTATCACCTACTGTCCACTCTCCTTTGTCAATAACTAAATTACAATAATAGAAGTTGTGGAATTAATGCTAAAAGATATAAGTACACGCTATAGATTACAATAATTTTGTAGTACAACAGATTAACTTACAAAGTAAAGTTTATTATGCACAGTACACTCAACATACATTACTTACTATGCACAGTAAAGTTTATCGTATAATTTTGTAAACATTAAGTACAGTACAATTAAGTCCAAGTGCTTACTAAGCACAATGTACACAAACCATAATAGTATAAGTATGAATGTACTTGACTCATAATAACCAGTTACACTGACCTAGTTCAGTCAACATGACAATGTTAGGGCTGGTAACCAATGAACCTCCGACAGTTAATATCCAGACACAAGAAGGACTCATAATGAACACTGAGAGAGAATGATCCAATCTCTTACTAACAGAGTGAGGCACATCTAACTGTTAATAGAAAAAAATTAACAAGTTACACCGTATAATAGTAAATAGTTTGTAACATACCTTTATCCAGGAATGTTGAGCGATATTAAAGATCCAAAAATCATCTAATGTAACACCATCCTTATCCCTCCCACCACTTATCACTAGCATAGGATGGTTTGATCCAGTTATGATAGCAGCACCTCCATGTAAATATCTACCCATAGGCCATTGGTCTATCGTTTCAGGTTTCTTTACACACTGCCAGAACTAAAAATAATATAAACATACTCATTAACAATGCTATAGTGAGCCTGAATAAGTGTGTGCCATATAGCGCTTTATTTTGGTACATTTATTTTGGTGGCTTTGTTATAAAATTGTAATTGGAGGTTTTTAATTTGAGGATTTTTGTATACACATGTATTACTGAGCATGCATATTCATGATTGGCAGTTTTAACATTGGTAATTTCACTTGCAAATTGCCCATCACCAAAATAAAACACTGCCAAATGAAAGAGCTATATGGTATTTGATATTTTCAACATACCACAGTGCTGACTGATATCTCTAGTATAATATTATAGATGTTGTCAGTAATAGTAACCTTAGCCTCACCATCAGTCTCTAATCCACCAAACAGAACAGCTCTAGTGTTGCTAATTTTTTCAATGACAAAGCCACTAACAGGAGGTATACACTGACCAATGATTGAAGGATTACTCCATTTTCCTAAATTTTTGTCATAATATTTACGTTATTCTACAATATAAATCTTACTTGATGATAGATTATACATTGAGTGCTCATTAGTACGCCATCTTCCACTAGGTAACTCACTATATCCACTATGTGATAACTGTACAACTGGTTTAGATCCTATTCCTCCTATCATTAGTAAATGGTGTACTCCATCATGTTCAAACGATAGCATTCCACCATAAGCTCGTCTCATAACTGGTCTAGTTGCATCAGTTGGTTCTAATTCCCTCCATTGAAGACTAACGGTGTCCAGTTGTGCAATACTGTTGTGATAGCAGATATCATGGCCACCGTGGCACTGTCCCCCGAAATAAAACAATAGATCATTTATTGCAGTACAGCAGTATGCACCCACTCCTAATGGAGGAGTACCAGTAGTACTTCTAGTGATCCATTGACCAGCTGAAGGAGTAAAGTGCTGTATATTACTAGAGAATTGTCTCTTTTCTTCACTATCATGTACAGCAGGTAAACCAGCATGAATACCAGCCCACATATACAGTGAATCACCAACTGATACAGCGCGGTGGCCAGCTATTTTATTTACTTGATCTATTATAACAAAAAGCAGTACATCATACTCGCCGTAAACAGTACTACTTACCTTTATCCTCGCCTCTAGCTCTAGAACCAAAAAACCTAGCCACTGCCATTGCCCTTAGTAGCGTCACGTGATCTGAGAGATCTCTAAACTCTATCATAATTATCTAGTACTGGTGGGTGTTGTGGTCATAACAAGATCAATGTATCTGCCACTATCAAAATAACTCAGTTTGCATTCTTTGGCTCCAGAGAATTTTTTAGTAGAGCTAGTGTGAATTTTGCTCATGCATGTTATGAATACACCTCAAAATGCACCATTACAATGAACTGTTCTGCATGTATAACACATCGAAGATAGTGTAGAAGTATATAAAGACTTGTCTGTTTAAATTCAGTCTGCATTCTCCATAAAAACATCAGTTCATGTGATCTCAATGAAAACTGGAAATGACAGTGCTGACTGAATTTGAATTACTTAGAAATGATAACCTTCATGGTTGTAATTACTATTTTA